TACAGCTTGCTCTTCGCTTTCTGTGGACATTTCTTGCATCTTTGGCAGGAAGATTTTCAACAAAACTGTTGAAACAGTCTGAACAATATCAGTCAAAAGCCTTGTAATAATGACTTCTATCTCTGGGTCCATTTGTCCAGAGGCCAGCATAGCCCACTGCACTATAACAACTACTGTGCAATTATATTATATTTATTGACCTGTGCAATAACCTGTGCAATATTTATACTGTATATAAGCCATCCTGATTGTACATATGTCACCTCAAATCTCTGTGTTACTCCCCTGTATTTTTATTTATTTTTATTGTTTATACTTTATGCACCTTGTCCTCCTTGTTTGCACCTTCTTTAATCACTAAACCGACGTGTGACCATTGGATTTCTCCACTGTGAGATCAATAAAGTTTATCTTATCTTATCTTACTCACTATTGAGCAGAGTTTAATTTAGTTTATTTTTTGTATAATGAAATATCTGGGGCCATTGTTACTATTGTAACCCAGTTGACCAAAACATATTGAAAAGGTTGGTTCAAAAACTAATATTTAAATAGAATAATAAATAGTGATAATTCTGATTTGCAATTCATGAATGATGGTTTGATATTGTTAAACACATGATTTATAAGTATTTGGTATAGCAGTGCTTTTACTGCGACATGTTACGATTTGGTACTTTTATTTTGAAATCTGTTATAACGGGTTCCCGTAGAACCGTTTGTCAGTTGAGCGGAGAAGAGCGAGGAATAAAAGTTAGAATTAGAAGTTAGGAGTTAGAAATTGGGGGAAAAAAGTATTTTTAAGTTGTTTATGTCACCTAAGTTTTTTTTGGAGTGTGGAGCGACCAGCTCTGTGAATGCTGAATGTTTTTGAAGAATTTGTTCGTAGAATATTGTTTTATTGAAATGTCTCGGTAAGGCAACTCGTCTATTTTTTTTCCTAATTGATGTAATTTAAGTGTTATATTATTATCACAGCTAAATACTTTGGTGAAAGGTCAGAATTGTATTTTGTTTTGTCAAATACTTATTGTGTTAATGTCAAATGGGTAGTGTATATTTTGGTTTAAATGAGTTAGCTAAAAGCTCGGAACGAGCCAACTGACAGCGCTGAGAGAACGACAGAGAGCATGGGAAAAAGCAAACCCAGGAGTTGAAGGTTCTTTAAATTAGTAAATGTTTCTAGTAAGGGACAAATAGGAACAGAGTCAACTAACAGTCCCACAATGACACCAAAAGTCAAGAAGAAAGTGACATTGAGCGAACACCGAACTGTAAGCATTAGAAAACTGCCTAGAGGCCTTGTAGGAAATAAAAGCACAGCCAATGTGAAAGTGAACGGTATCGAGTGCAACTCACTGCTTGATACAGGGTCACAAGTAACGACTGTGTCTTAGTCTTTTTACGAGTCACACCTCTCCGATCATCCAATACATCCAGTGAGTGACATACTGGAAGTTGAAGGTGCTAACGGCCAGGCAGTTCCGTATCTAGGATATATACAGCTTAGTATACAATTCCCCAAAGAATTTATGTCTTCTCAACCCCGAAGTGCAAACTCTTGCCCTGGTAGTGCAAGACACTCGCTCCAACAGTGCCTGTACTGATTTGGTGGACTGGTGCAGAGTGAACAACCTGATCCTGAACGTCAAAAAGACCAAGGAGATTATCGTCGACTTCAGGAAATCCAGACCCACCCACACACCCCTCCTCATCAACGACTCAGCTGTGGAGGTCGTAAGCAGCACCAAGTTTCTGGGGGTGCACATCACTGACAACCTCAGCTGGTCAGTCCACATCTCCTCACTGGTGAAGAAGGGCCAACAGCGCATGCACTTCCTGCGTCGGATGAAGAGAGCATCCCTCCCGCCCCCCATCCTTCAGGCCTTCTACAGAGGGACCATCGAGAGCCTGCTGACCAGCTACATCTCCATCTGGTCTGGGAGCTGCAAGGCCTCTGACTGGATGTCGCTTCAGAGGGTGGTGAGGACAGGGGAGAAGATCACGGGGGCGACGTTCCCCTGCATCCAGAACATCGCGGACAGGCGCTGCCTTTCCCGGGCTCGCCAGATACTCTCCGACCCCACCCACCCCAACCATGGACTGTTTTCCCCCCTGGCGTCCGGCAGAAGTTTCCGCAGCATCTTCTGCAGAACGACCAGACTACTAAATAGTTTCTTCCCCCTGGCCATCAGACTACTTAACGCCATATAACCCCCCCCGTACACACACATATTTATTGATGTTTCGCTGCTAAAAATTTTACTCTGGTAGCCAAGAAATTGACATTTCGTTGTCTAATTCACCTCGTGTTTTTGACAATGACAATAAAGGAAGTCTATGTCTATGTCTACTTTAGACCCCCTATATGAACAGTTCTGTGACGGAAACTCTTTGGTAAGCAACATATACTGTGGCTACCAACAAGTCTTGAAAACCCTGCAGCTCAGACAAAGGCAAAATCCAGAGGGTCAGATTGGTGTTGTCAAATTAGGTCGTCATGAACAAGGCATCATCCCTGCCGGACAGAAAGTTGTCTTGGAGGCTTTGTCCCCAGAGGTGAAGCGAACAATGAGAAGTGGGCAGTACTCGAACAACCTTCAATCTCATCCTTGCCAGGGGGAATCTTCATTGAAAGCTGTTTAATCTCGATTCCAGCACGTTCCCCATACAAGGTACCTGTAGTGGTGCGGAATGAAACAAACCATGACATTGTCTTGCCAAGCAACTCTGTCCTTGCAGAACTTGTTATCCCTCATGAAATCTGCCCGACCTGCAACACCTGTGGCACAAGTCAATTGCAGTCATCATCCACTGTCTGCTCCAGCCAGCAACAGTCCAGGCATAATGAGCAGCAAAGTGACCGCTTGAGTTTTGAGTTCGGAGATTCCCCGCTTCCTGTGAAATGGAAGGAACGTGTAACAAAGACACTGAACACCTACTCTGATGTGTTTTCTCAACATGACCTAGATTTTGGTCACGCCACAAAGGTCAAACACCGCATCAAACTGAAAGATGAGACACCTTTCAAGCATCGACCCCGTCCTATCCATCCAAAGGATTACGACGCTGTGAGACGACATCTGCAAACCCTTCTTGAAGCAGGTATCATTCGTGAATCGGAATCCCCGTATGCTTCACCTATAGTCGTAGTGAAAAAGAAGAATGGCGACGTACGCCTGTGTGTCGACTATAGGAGATTGAACCTGCAAACGATTAAAGATGCATATGCATTACCGAACCTTGAAGAGTCATTCTCTGCGTTAAGCGGGTCACAGTGGTTTTCCGTGATGGATTTGAAATCAGGATACTATCAAATTGAGATGCACGATGACAACAAATCGAAAACTGCTTTTGTATGTCCCCTTGGGTTCTGGGAGTGGAATCGTATGCCACAAGGAATCACCAACGCTCCAAGCACATTCCAGCACTTAATGGAGAAGTGCATGGGCGATATCCATCTGCGTGAGGTGCTGGTATTCCTTGATGACATCATTGTCTTCTCCCAAACTCTGGAGGAACACGAAGCTCGTCTAACCAAAGTCCTTGAGCGTTTGAGGGAGAATGGTCTCAAGCTATCGCCTGAGAAGTGCCGCTTCTTTCAGACGTCTGTCCGTTACTTGGGGCACTTTGTCTCTCAGAACGGAGTGGAGACCGATCCTCAGAAGATAGAAGCTCTCACGACTTGGCCGAGACCCCGTACCTTGAAGGAACTCCGTTCTTTTCTTGGTTTTTCTGGCTATTACAGGAGGTTTGTGCAGGACTATTCAAAGATAGTCAAGCCATTGACCAACCTCACTGCGGGATATCCACCAGCACGAAAGTCCTTCCAGAAAACCAAGACTGACACAAAGTACTTCTATCCGAAGGAGCCATTCGGAGAAAGATGGACAACAGCTTGTCAGAATGCCTTCGAAAGGATAATTGAAAGACTTACCTCACCACCAGTCTTGGGCTTTGCTAATCCGGAGTTGCCGTATGTCTTGCATACGGCAGAAAGCAGATTCTGGACCTGAACACAGGGAACAGAGTCTCTCTGTCCCATCATGATGATGAGCCGAGTCTAGTATCATCTAAGGATGGTTGGTGTATTTGAAGACATCTACGTTGGGAAATTATATTGACAATATATTGTTTACTGCAGTCAGTGTCTGTTTTTGACTTAATGCACTGACGGCGTGACTGTCACATGTCGTACAGACCCATTTCCAAGTAGTATAGCTTTGCTGGGGGAAAAAAAGACCAAATACAGTGACTGTCCCAAATAAATGTAGTGTTTAGAATATCTATCCCATATTTACGGAGGACTGAAACTAACATACGTAGAAATAAAAGCAGAAAAATAAATGCACCAGACCTTCCTGAGTTTACTTGTGAATGTGATAACTTCATTTATACTTATTTCCTTTTTTTGAAAACTATGATTGTTGTAGTGTTGATGTTTATTTATGAAAAGAAGGAGTAAACTGAAGTCAAATGTAATTCATGAATGGCTGTAATTTATTTTCTGACATCTGTTTACTTCTGACAGATTTGAAGAATACCAGATGAATAAGAGGATCACAAATGAACCTCAACAGCTTTCCATATCACAATTTCTGGACACTCGTGCTGGGCAGTACATTATGAATCATCCACAGCAGAAAGCCATTACAAATGCCTTACTACGTGACTTAATTATTGGTTGTAATCTGACCCTGTCTATTGTGGAAAACAAGAGTTTTCGACACTTTCTGACAGTAGTCAGCCCAATATGTTGCAGAACAATGACATCAAAAATAGAAGATCTTGCTGCTGAGAAACATTTGATGTTAAAAACCCAGCTGAGCCAGACTGATCATATTTCAGTGACAGTGGACATTTGGTCACACCGAAAGATGAGGGGTTTCCTTGGCGTCACTGTGCACTGGATACAAAAAGGAATTGAGAGGCTCGAGGTAAAATCAAAACTGTTGGCCTTTGAGCGCTTCAAAGGCTCGCACACAGGTGAAAGAATCTGTGAAAAGTTTTAAGCTGTATGCGATGAATACAACATCAAAGATAAGCTAGATTAGATTATAAGTGACAATGCTGCCAATATGCAAAAAGCACTTCCTTTCCACTGACCAAGGTGAGGAACCTGATGATAATCATCGTCTTGACGACCCAGAGCTCTGGCATGACTTACCCTTGGAAGATCAGGAAACAGTCGGTGCATCTTTGGGAAAGAAAAATCGCCTGCAATGTTTTGCTCACACACTTCAGTTGGTGGTGACAGATGGCCTGACAGAGACCAAAGTGGCATCTCCTGCCCTTTCAAAGCTATCTAAGCTCAGCTCACTACTGCACACAAGCACAACATTGACAGATGTGTTTGAAGCTGAATTTGGTGAACGGAAAAGCATCCCTGCTTCTGTAATCACAAGATGGAATTCAACAGTGTGACAAGTGAAGGCGGTTCTTCAATGTGAACATTTAAAACTCTGTGCTATTCTTGAAAAGGCCGGGCACAAGAAGTTGTTATTCACAATACGAGAGTGGAACTTGTTGAAGGAGATTGTGGACATCTTGAAACCGTTTGAAGAAGCAACTGATTTGACACAAGGTGAGAAAATAGTCACGATCGGTGCTGTTGTTCGATCGGTGCTGTCCCTCAATCACCACCTTGAGAAACTGAAGCCGCAAGTCCGTTTTCTGAATGGTCCGGTCAGCAGTCTCCAGGCATCTTTGAACAAAAGATTTCTTGGAATTTTTATCAGTGTGCAAATGGCGAGAGCAGAAGAAGGGATCACTGCACCCTTTTCAGATCCAGTGTACCTCAAAGCAGCTGCTTTGGATCCAGCGTTTTCTCTGTTGTTGGTGGAACACCATGTGTTGGGCAGTCAGGACATGAAGACAGAAGTGACACAAAAAGTTAAAGGTAAAGACTGTATTTGGTGTTCTTTTTCTGTATTATTTATTTATTGTCTAAAATTCTAATACAGGCTCTTTTGCCGCTGTTACTTGGATGTTTTCTCAGATCTGATCCTGGAAAATGCTGCAGATCCTACAAAGTTGGAGCAACACGTGACTCCTGGTGATAAAGATCAAAAGGACTGTGAAGATGGAGGACTGTTTGCTGCTTATTGTAAGAGGCAGAAGAAGGATGTCCAGACAAGTCCAGCACTACAGCTAAGTCATTACCTCCATATTGCTGATGGACAGAACGCCCTCTTGTTCTGGGCAATGAACATGCACACTCTTCCTTCACTGTTTAATGTGGCGACCAGAGTTTTGGCAGTGCCTGCTTGCAGTGCTCCAGTGGAGCGCGTCTTCAGCTATGGTGGCATCATTTTACGTCCTCATCGTGCACAAATGACAGACAGACTTTTGGCCAGTTTGGTCTTTTGCAAATGCAATGCAGAATAGTTAACTGAATGAAATACAGTATCCTCAATTGCAGATTTCTGTTCAGTTGATATATTTGTTTTGTTTCTTATGTCACTCAAAACATGGACACATAAAAATACATGTTCACTCAGTGACCAGGTCAGAGAAAAGAGGAAAAAACTGCTGTTATGGTTCTTTGTATTGTGCTGTGGAAATGTCAGCATTTTCGTCTTTTTTTGATTGAATATCAAGTTTAACAGAACTGCGCCATAAAGTGGTCCAATTTAAAAATGTTTTTTATACTTTGTGTTCAGCTACACATGTTCTATCATTTGAGATAAATACATATTTTAAAAAGAACAAATGGTCTATTATTTGAATTTAATGTATAATTGCGAATTATAAAAATAAAATTAAATAAGAACGACTCGAAATGACTTGAAATTTAAGGTTCCTGACTTGAGACTTGACTCGAAATTACCTGTCTTTACTTGAGTCTTGACTCGGACTTGAGGACAGGTGACTTGGTCACACCTCTGCCACCTTCTCCTTTGACATCCAGTACCATGCCGGCAAGCAAAACCAAGATGGTGACGGTCTGTCGAGGAGGCGACATGGACCGTTGGTGAACGACAACTGCTCACAGGAGGAGGGTCTGCGAATCCATCAGTTTAGGTCTCACCATATAACTCCTATGGACGTTGTCAAGGCCACCTGTCAGTACCATGTAGCC